GCAAGACACCACACATTTGACATAAATCAATTTGCATCGTTTCATCTACAGACAATGGACACCAAAAGAGATACTTTATTACAACTGCCTCTTGGGAGCTGCCGTGTAAAAAGAACTGCCAGTCCCTGACACCATTCATAGGGGAATAGGGACCCTCTCAAGTCTAGGCATCGTTTTGACTCATTTCAGACAAACAGAGTCACGGGGGGGGGGGGGCTCTCCTGGTTTACCTTTCCTCTTGCTTTAGAGATGAGAAACCCATGGCCAGGAAGCGAACGTCACTCAAAATCATCAGGCTGGTGGGTGGCAGCAACATGTGGGGTCCTGTACATGATCGTGCTCTCATATTTCTGGTTCTAAGCTCTGCTCTCCTGGCCTAATTCAACGGGTCTGAGCCCAGACAGAAAACCCTGGGAGATGCATTTTGAGCTTGGCAGAGGTCCGCATCCCCCAAGGAGAGGTGAGCTACCCACCAGCCTCCTCTTGACGCTTGCCCCACATGTCAGAGGGATTGGGTTGATGGGCAGCAACCCCATGGCCCTCAGTCCCTTCTATGTTACCAAAGTAGGCCAGACACAGGGAAAACGTCCGGAGGCCAGCCTCTGCAGCCCTTTACAGTTTTTCTTTTGCTCTTACAGGTCCAGCAATGGAGAAACAGCACACTTGAATTTTTCATTCCCTGGAATATTCCTTCCTAATTAGCCTGCTCTTCTACTCCACTGGGAAATTCCAGCCTCTGCAACACTTTCTCTTGGACAGTAACTTCTAACATTGTGAGAAGCACGGTTCTGACAGCCAACCCATCACGCTCAAGGAAAAGAGGTGGATGTTCAACCGATAAGTCACCGGAAGTAGGGGCAGAGGGCAGGGGCTGGGCAAGTCTTTTCCGGTTTCAAAGGACTGCCTTTCGTGGGACTGGCGACACCTGATTCTTGGTGGCTATTATTTCAAGCCAATGGAATCAAATTAGTTTTGTCATGAAGACTTTCTGAGCTTTGTTATCATGTCCCTTGAGACCATATAAAGAGGGTCCCAAACCAATATAAAGTAGAAACCATAGCCATGCACCATGGCCATGCGCATGAGCAATGAGCACAGGCTACTAAGAGAAATGTTTGGCTGGTTTGTGCATTTGACCTTATTCCTCCCCAAACCAAGTGTCTATGGCAAGGCCACATGACTAAGGACTGTCCCCTGAGTGACTTAGTCAAAGGAAGTATGAAGTGAAAGCTGAACGGTTCTGACATTTAAATTGTCGTGGAGACAGGGTCCACAAGGGGCAGCCCGAATCCTCCTCTACTTCTCCATCACTTTAAATAATTCAAGTTGAAAACCCTAGCTGGTGAATAATGTTACTTTTCTATTTCTGATGGCTTCTTACCCACCCCCCCGCTTTGGGACAGTTGAGTAATGAGGTGGTGGGGGAAGATGGCTATGGCAATGCCTTTAAGTTATGGACCCTTAGCCCTGTGAGGATCACTGAAGAGGCCAATGGGAAAGTTCTGATCTCAGCTCAAAGCAGACAGCTGTTCTCCAGACAGTCATCCTGGGAATACGACCAGTATATGCCACAGTCTGGAAGTCTAGGCTCGGCCCACCTGTATTGTCATGGCACTATCAGAAAAGGGGCCCCTCCTCGCAGTGGGGTTCCAGATCTCCCTACATCTCCATGGAGCAGGGTGAATAACACTATCGCTATGGGCTTTCAGAGAAATAGTGCAGTAGATTGACACAGTATGGTTTGGGACCTCCAGCTGGGAGAAGCAGAGCTCAGCAGCTTCCACAGGGATGGAGGGCAATGGCATCATGGAACGGGGTTTCATGACATGCAGCCACACATGGCCAGGCCAGCCAACCCAAGGACCTGTGCTTGGCGGTCGCCCCCTTACTCTTCTGTCATGGTCCCGGGGAGGCTGCCAGCTACGAGTTAAGAGCAAAACTCTCTTTGATTTATAACCTGAGTCTGGACTAAAGCCTAGAGAAGGCATTTGGAATAAAAGAGAAATTTCTCCCTCCCCGTTCTTAGATATATCACTTTATGATTCTGTAGAGGGGAGGATGGGAGGGGCATCACTGTCAAAAGGAGCTCGCCATCTTTCACTCGGTTCTTTTCGCTAACCACAAGATAGACCATTTGTCATGTGAAACGGGTATCGGGAAAGAACACATCTCGTGGCGCACATCTTGTTCTCTGCAAATAAAACACCTAGAAAGTTCTGAAGCCTCTGGGCTTGCCTAAGACCACATGTAAACCTCAGTTCACTTCAGTTCACATTTCTGGCTTGTGGGAGAGCATCTCAACAGGCAAACAGATGCTTTTAAAGATTGAAGCTTAAAATATTTTTTGCCTTCCAAACGACATTTCTGCCTTTTTGCCCAGATGAAGGGGTCTTTGCTCCGGGCCCTGGGAAGGGGGAGAGTAGGTGGGGTGGGGAGAATACCACCCGGCTCTCAGGTAGTTCCTGTTCTCCTGAGCAAATGGAAGCGTGGTTTCAAAACACAAGAAAAGGCAGAGAAACCGCCAGATTTTTGGAGTGTAATTTACTCCACCAGTGGGATGTGGATGCGGGGAGTCAGGTTGCAATCAGGCAGAGCCCAAGTGTTCTTTAAGAAAATGTTCCTTATTTTTGTGTGCCTTGGCAAACTCGGGGTGGAATGCAAGGGTTGCCATGGCAACATAATCCCCCCCCCTTTTCTTTTACAGATTGGTCACGTGGGACCCACGCACATTCTGGAAGCCACTTCTAATAGTTCCCATGCTGGGTCCTGTCTGGGGGCTCTGTCTGCGTCTGGAGTGATAGGAGACAGCTTGCTGTGAAGCCAAGGGGATCAGGGTCTACATGCCTTGTCCCCCTAGCAAAATGCCTCCCCGATCATCGCTTGTGTGGTCTGGGGGCGCACCCGTTCTTACAGCAAGAATGAGCCATCCTTTATCCGTGGGCATCATAAGTAGCTGTGGCGAAGACCCGAAGTAGCTCTGGTGTGGACGGGACCTGCCGAAAGTCAACCTCTTAAGCCTTACAGAGAATCCCAACACCTTTGACAGACTGTCCAGGCAAAGCAGCCAGGGGGCACGTGACAGAGACGAGCTCTTAGCTCCCAAAGTCTCAGGAATGCAACTACCTTTGGGCTATCTCCCCACACTTCAGCCCCTGGGTGCCACGCGTGTGGAGGCCACCGTGGTGGGAGGTCAACTCTAACCCACCCAAGAGAGTTCTAGAGCTTCCATGTTGTCCTCTCTCCTCACAAGGGATGCATGCTCCTCGAATCCCTTTTGGGTAGGATGGGCTTGCTTACTGGTCACTGGGAGGGGAAAAGGGTCCTCTTCAGGGAGAGGATGCTGAGGCCTTGAACAGGTTGTTGCTGCCTCTCTAGAGCTCCTTTTAATCCCTGCCCCTGCCTCGTGGCTCAAATCTCTTCTAAGTCTCACATCCTTCGGAGACCCCGTTCTCCGGTGAGAGGCAGAAGAACTTGCAGAGAGCCAGCCTTTGAAGAAGCATCGCAATCCCTTCTCATGGGGCAGGCTCCTTTAGAAGTCATCCCTTGGGGTCTTTATTCAATCTGCTTTGGCTCCCCAGGAGGACATGGTCTAGTGGTTCACGGGGTCCTTCCCGTCCAAGTCCAGTTGGGGGGTCGGGGGAGATAAGCTGCTTTGGGCAAAAACTAATGACGAAGTTGTCTTATGTGTTAGTGCTCTGTGATCGGACCTGTCCTCATTCCGGAAGCCGATCCTGAGGACCATGGTGAGTCGGGCAGGGGGAGAGAGAGAAGAGGCAGATGAACAGTGTGTACCGTGGCAGGGCAGGGTGGGCGAGAGGGACTGGCAGGCTGCTGCCTTCCTTGGCCTAGATGTGCGGGACTCCAGGCATTTTCCCAGCGGGACCCTCAGCCCCCGGGGCTCTTAGGAGCTTACACCTGCTCCATCCTCCGGACTATGGCTCAAACCCTAGTTTTACTTGTGCTCATCATGAATATTTGCAGTCTCCCACAGTAGGGAAGTTTCTACAGCTGCCCCCTGGCTGTTGCCTGAAGCGCTTGCAGAGGTGAACCGGAAAAAGACCCTAAAAGGACGAGTCAGAGAAGGCAGTAAGGGAGAAAACTGAGGCGGGATGGGGGGGGGGGTCTGGGGGAGGGGACCAGGGACACACACCACACCGCAAAACCTAGAGAGGAAAGATTCTGGCACCTCAATACTGGAAGAAAGGGGAAGAGGGGGCGGGAAAAGCATGTAGCTTCAGGATGCAATGGAGAGAAAGGAGCGAGACAATTCCATTACAGAACTGAAGACCCGAGCTTGGAAAAGTACAAAGGAAAACATCACATCGAAAGATTATCGGCTAATCAGACTATGCAAGCTTGAATCAATAATGGTGGCTGACAGGGCCTCTGGGAGAAGTCGGGAAATTGCAGACTTGAAATGGTGTTGAACACGGACCACGGGATCCAGGTCCCTTCCCCAGCAGAAGTATTCTGCAGGCAGGAGCGAATCACCTGTCGTGCTGGCTAAGCTGATTCACATCTTTTTGTTTCCTCATGAAAATGAGTCAGTTGTAGAATCTGAGTGCTGGAAGGTGTTATGTAAAATAGTCGCTTGATCCTTCCATCTTTCCACTGTGGATTGTATTTCTCTTTTTATCTGGGGAAGACTAACAAAGCATATTTTAGGACGAGAAGAAGGAAAGATGCTCAAGGACCTGAACTTACAGGGGTCTTCTGGCATGGATGGGTGGGTTCAGGCTCCAGGACTCCTCTGACGGCTGGGGGGTGGGCTGGGCTGCCACACCACCTCCCCACTGGTCTCGGTCCTTCCCTGCACCCCCTCCCCACCCCGAAACTACCTGGCCCCCCCAAAGGAGGCAGGGATGCGTGTCGGAGTACAAGCTTATATCAGGAGGAAGCGAGTAGGAAAGAATGACGTCACACATGAAGAAGCCCAATGCATACGTCTGTCTATGTGTCTAGGTTATAGAGATGTCCACGAGTATGCTTCTTTTTTCACTAATGGCAGCGCAGGGGGCAAAGCTGGGAGAAAGGCTCTCTGCAGATTCCAAAATGCTGGTGCGCGATGGGCTCTAGGAACAGAAAGCCAAGTGCCGACGGAAACTGAGAGCTCCCCAACTCTGCCAACAAGAGTCCTGTAGAAAAGGCAGTAAGAATGGAAGCGAGGGGTGCCACCTGCACACCGCCAGGCACTGCACCCCATTCGATTGCTTTCCCCTCACGCCTTGGGGGGGGGAAGGGCTCCACTGGGTGGAGGAAGGAAGCCAGGGTGGGATGGAAGGCCCCCTCTTCGGGAGCAAGCCGGAAGTCAGCCTCTGGGGACTGAGGGTTCCCTCAGCCGGGAGTCTTCAGCTGACCCCGGGGGGGGGGTTGAGACAACGGGGCATGGAAATGACTGCACGTCCACGCCTCCCTCTTGCTCTCTTACACCACCAGCCTGGATGGCCACTGGAGAAGTCCGAGATGAGAATGAAGTCTCTCTTCCGAGTTCCTGGGGGTGACTGACGCAGTCATTGGGAACTCCTGGCTATTTTATTGCATTAGGAAACAAAACCATTAAAGCATTTAAGACAGCCCTTTTGTGTCCCTGCCAAGGAGATGAAGTGGATTGGCAACACCCGTTGCACCGCAGCCTTGGGTTCTTCACTCCACTGTGCCCTGTCTGCATTGTCCGTGTCGGCTTTCGGAGGAACAGCGTCGGCCCGCAGGGCATGCACATGCACGGTGAGCCGGGGGCGCAGCGGCGCGGGGAGGGGCTACTCCATGCCGCTCCGGAGGATCTGGTTGGCCGCGATCAGCATGACGCTTATGATGAAGGCCATGGCGAAGGCGCATATGAGGCTCTTGCGGACGCAGGTCTGTCTGTTCTGCTTCTGGGAATGCACTGGGGTTGCAGGGGGAGCAGAGGGTAAGGAGACGGGGAGGGAGGGGTGGGGGAGAGAAGAGAGAAGCGACACAGTGAGACAGGCTGACCTCCTCCTCTGCAAGCCCAGTCCATAGGCTGAAGACCGGTCCCATCAACAAGCGTCTCGGGGACCGTTCTCGGAGCCTGAACATCACCTCTTCTGGCAGATGGTAGGAAACAGTAAAACTTCTATAACAAACACCATGAGAGATGTGATGTTCAGAGGGAGGTATAAACTTCCAGATCCAATAGAGTTACAGGGACTTTCTGAGTGAGAAAATACGTCAACACTTGAGGGTTTCACAAAAGGCATCATCCAGGCATGACGGTGTCCCCCTCTGCAGAGCACCGGGCTCCCGTTTCTGAGTCACCTGCTGCAGGCAGAGCCAGGTTCAGATGCTTCCCTACCTGTTGGCACCGGGCTGGAAGCAACTTGCCCCCCCGCCCCCCCGCCCCCAGAATTGTTCTTGGTGGCCGCTGGTCAAAATGACTCTAAATGACTTCTGGTGTGATTTCAGGTATGCACACCAGTGGTTCTAGAGTGGGGTTCCTAGGCAAGCAGCATCCACGTCCCTGGGAGCTCGTTAAAAGTGCAGGTGCTCAGGCCAGACCCCATGCCCAATCTACTGAATCAGAAACTCCAGGGATGGGGCCAGCGATCTATGTTTAACTAGGTGATTCTGGTGAAATCTGAGAAGTGGAGACCACGTGCTCTGTGGACGGGACCAGTGTGAAGGAGGGAGGGAGGCACGAAACCCTCGCAGACCTTCCAGAGCCACAGGGTCCCTGCCCCCACGTCCTGTTGCACCGCGGAGGTCTGACCTTGGGCCCTAGGGTTGTGTCCTCTTAATCTTTTTTCTTGGGCTTGGTCTTGTGCCACCATTTTCATAAGGCCCTGGAGAAACCATTAGTAGGTCTGAACCAGTGGGAAAGTAATTGGGACCAGACACAGGGAAATGGAAATCACCAGAAAGAAAAGCTTTGATAAAGTGTGTGGAGGAAGAACAGGTCTCTTTTCCAGGAATTGCTTTCCCCTGCCAGAACTTCTTTTCCTTCTTTTTCTTCTGTTAGTCTACACCCCCTCCCTTTCCCATCTGTCTGTCCATCCGTGATCTTTGCACACAATTTACCACTTAGCATATGGCCGAAATCTGTGCCCTAGAGGCAGGTGGAAAGCTATGTACATCAGAGCTACTCACTGGACCAGCAGCATCAGCACCATCTGGGAGTCTGATGTACGTGTAAATTCTTGGGTCCCACTGTAGAATTACCTAATCAAAATCTCTGGGGGCGGAGGCCAGGAATTCATGAATTAATAAATTCTCCAGGTGATTAGGGAATCGCTGGGCCCCAGCCCCAGAATTTTCGATTCAGTAGGACTAGGTGGCGCCAAAGAATCTGATGGAGTTTGAGTTGCGGGGG